GAGAGAGAGAAAAGACGAGGAGTGGAGCATCGAGGAGGTTGAGAAGAGAGGAATTGCAGAGATCGAGCCAGCGCGAGACGGCTAATACATAGGTGTAACAGTCGGAAGAAGTGTTAGTTTGTTTACTTAAATGAACCATGCCCATTTTGTTATGGCATGTTTGCTATACGAAATGCGCCTCGTGTTTATTAGCGAATTTCACATCAAAGATTGATTAATTGAGTAGGAAATCAGTTTGGCACGGCATTTGTGACCAGCATACACCTTCCGGTAGTATGAAACAGGTCAAAAACTGTTCAAATCCGCAGATAAAATTTTTGTTTTGAATTTCTGTATAGCAAAATAGTGAACTTTTCGTGAACATTAACGGCAAAGAACTCACCAACACTGGGAGACTGTGAGTTCCTGCCCACCTGTCCATTTTCCATCGTGGAGCCAGCGGAAGTGCGCAGAACCAAAAAACGTACTACTACGGCCCTTAGCCTGGAGAATACAGCTTAGAAGACTACGCTCGCCAATATTTTACAGCAAAGTAACTGAAAAATATAAATAATCGTGAAGAACAGCTCTGGGAATTTTGGATAACTTCGCGTAATGTTTAAGAGGTTTTTCTGTAGGACTTATACAAAACATTTAGATACCACTCATGCTTTATCAGTCATAAATATATTATAAACAAATAACGCAGAGATAAAATGCTGAAATAATGGTAATGGTAAGCGTGATTACCTCTCACCCCAGCAGGCCTGGGTTCAATTCCAGTCGGTGCCACTGGGATGTTCTGAGGCAATAACATCCATTTCATTCGACCTCAAACTCCAAATCCTCTGAAGAGAGGAACGAAGATGAAAAACAAAGACAGTTGATCAGAAGTATTAATAACTGTTATATTTTGTACATATACAAACGAGAGTGAAATGAGTTAATAAGTTGACAGTCAACAACATAGGGTTAACTACCCCATTTTCGGCCTATTAAGCACAACCCGCACTTAGTCTTTCTTAATCTAGCGCAGTTTAGCACCAAACGGAATGTTATTATTACTGATGGCTTCCAAATTTATTTACCTTTCTGTACGTACCGTAAGATTTGATAAAGAAAAACCAATCGTTGAGATATTGTCAAAAGTCTAACACTGCTTCTTGACGCCAAACTCGGCCTACGGATTCTAAACTCGGCCTAACGCATTGAAACGCCATTAAAACGCAAATGAATTCACTTCGGCCTATATTGGGTACAAACCTTCATATCACGCGTTCTCATTGACTTCGTTCGGTAGCTTATTAACTAAAGTATCGTACCAAACTCATAATTGACTCTGAAATCATGGAATTATTTTGTGTTTTCTGCACGATAGGCCCAAAATGGGCGATTAGGCCGAAGTAGTTCTCTACCCTACACTGGTGTTGTTATTTGCCGCGGATACTTAATGAACTTCATATACAACCTATATACGATGAGACTTGTTATTCTTTTCGAAGAGAGATGTTGCAAGTGTTACTTGGGTAACATTACCTAGCATCGGTACTAAACATTGTAACAGCTGTAATTACATCCTCAATGTGTAAATAGCAATCATCCTCAATGTGTAAAAACTAGTGATCTAGAACTAGGCAAAACCAGCGCCGGCCACGCCCGAACACAGGTCAACAGAGGAATGGGTAGGAATGTGTAGGAATGTGTTGAAGTGAATGGGTACGAATGTGTTGACGTAACACTCGCTTTGATGGAAGCTGAGAACACCTCTGCACTTCCACGAGAAATCACGTGGATATTAGATAAAAAGGGTTGGGATTGCAGCAGGATTCGTTTTGGTAGACGATATGCTGAATTGATGTCCTAACGATTCGTTACCGCGAAGGAGCATGTGTTTGAATCCACGGTTTTCTGCTAAAAAAGCAAAAAACCAAAAGGTTATATTTAATAATCGAGTTGCTGTTATTACCATGTAGTCATATTAACAAATAAAACGATTGACGAATATTGAATGTGGATACGCCTGAGATTATACTCATGATGTTCTGCTCAGTAAGCAAAAACGGTCGCTCTAAGGCCACATCATACCGATACTCGAGTTGTTGTAACCATTCATACCCGGCTCAATTTTCGCAAAATACACGATAAACAAGCGATTTAACCATAAATCTCTTTTATATGAAAGGACCTGCGACCGCATTTTTCTACGCAGTAAGCCAGTGTAATTATCGATCTTTTAAATCCGAAAACTAAAAGCTACGAAGAAGCACTTAGGCCTTCATTAAGTTCCACTTTAACGTGACGTTCAATGTTTCAATTTGCTCTGTACGCATTGTTCAGGTTATCATGCCTCTTATATCATAACAAGCTATGACCGACGTAACTATTGTTTAAGCCCTGATTAAACAATATATTTAAATGAAATTACTTCGCTTAAGTTGCTTTACTTATGTTCTATTCTAGTTTAACTGATATTTATCCAGATACACTCAAAAGTGAGCACATATCACATCAAAAGACGTGAAAAACCAGTTAAAACATCCCGAATATGAGTAAAATCCATGAAAATCTCACTCAGCCTAGGAGTATACTAAATAGACTGAGTGAAATATCCACATATCCCCCTCACACTCGAGAAACTCCTTCTGGAGAAGTCCGAAAAATTCATCTCACTTCCGAGTAAATTCACTTTTGCCGAAAATGAGATCGACCGTGTACCCCCTTAAAGTCAAAAACAAACAAAGTAGCATCAAGGTATGAAAAATAATTTAAGTAAAGGCTCCCTGTTACAAAACAATAATTCCTATTTCAGGAAACAAAAATTAAAAAAATAAATCAAAGTCAACTAAAGGTTACTTCCGTCTCCTGTTGCTTCAAGGAAATTAAAACCAAAAATTCTAATTTCCTCAAACATCTCAAAAGCCTTTAATTTGCATTACTATCATTCAAAAAAAAAGCTAAATAAAAACTCTTAGCGTCCCATAATGCAAACCATTCATAATGGAAAATCTAAACGCTTTCCAGAAGCATGTATATCATTAAAAAAATATATAAAAATCAAATTCAAATTCGCCTCCAGTTGCAAACTAACTATTTCAATATAATGAAACATTCTAACGTCATCCAGAAGCATGCATGTCATAAAAATATATCAAATTTAATCAATTAATCAATCAGTGATATTAAAAAACACACTTCCAAGTTCCTTATTTTCCAAAGCACCATGCTATTTCATGAGTATCATCAAAGAAAAAAAACAATTTCAATAAAATGTGCTCCCTGTTGCTAATTGTAATTTAAAATTAAAATCATAATTTTTAATTTCTCTGACGAATTTTCTTTTGCTTAAAAATGAGAAAATAAATCAAGTTCTTAAAGATCGCTTTGTGTGAAGGCATTGAAACTAATAATTACTGTCTCAAAGAACTTAGATTTTTTTATCAACTTACTGATACATCACAAGAAAGGCACGATGAGTTCCATGATCCGCTGTGTCTTAGGTCACTTTACCGCTCACTTGTGCGGTCTTTATTTGAGTAAAAATTCTGTTGTATGGTGTCCTTCCATACCAACTGGATCGCTAGAATTGAATCTGAAAGCTGCTTACGGGTGACATCGACTGTTTAACATTGCTGGCACAGCTAAATACTTACTTAGTTGAATTATTAATAAACAAATAAATAAAAAAAATTAAAATTGTACATATTTTGTTAAACATACAACACTACTTCTTGATGGATTCACTTCGTCATACGGATGAACTGCCCATATGTGAAGATATAGCAAATTGACAAACACAAAATTCTGAGTTAAAATGTATTAAGCGATAAATCAATTAAAGCTATATTAAACGATAAAAGTGCTGTTGGAAACCATACCGTAAAGGTCCACGCACATTAGATCCGGATCTGACGCGTTGCGGCAAAGTGACAGCTAAATCTATTGTCTAACTGTCAAATTTACGTCAACGCAACGCAAACGGATCTAATGTGGGTGGGCCTTAAGAATTAACATTTCAAAAAAATTGCTCTCAAAGTATTGATATTAAACAATTTTGGCATATTAGCCATTTCGATTTTTCAATACCTCAAAATTCAGTATTCAAGCAATCGTTTTCCTTATGACCATGCATAGAGATTATACCTACCACGTGCTGCTGTTTTTGGTGTTTTAACTTGGGTGACATAACAGCAGCTTCTTCACTTTTTACTCAAACAGCTTACCGAACGTATAATTGATTTCTTTACGGGAAATTGTGGATATATTTGATGTTTTCTGCTGAATACTTCCACAATTCGTGTTTATAGGGTGAGTGATACAATGATGGTATGATTTTGTATTATTTTTTATTTTTGCTACTTCTCAGAATTTTGTTGAAGTCGGGGGATTTGTGTATGTGATTGATTTATTGTTCCTTTTTAGTTTCGTCGAACGTCTTTTTACATGCTCAATAATTTAAATAAATAATTTAAATAAATAAATAAATAAATTAACTTAACCCTATCAAGTCTGTTAAGATAATAGTCGATTGTCATGTACTAGTCTATTACTTCGTCTAGATTGTTGATGGCTTGTGAAAACTTAGATTTTTCGCTTTTACTTTTCGGTCACTGAGGTTCGACATATTTAGAAAATCTTCGAATCGAAGACATTGGAGCTGTAAAGGTTTCGTGAGTGGAAATTTGGTCACGCCTATGTGTGAATCATATCGTGAGCCCTTGTTATAAGAGTCTTTTTTCTCTCGCGTAATCTCCCTGTTTCTACTTCTTTTGATAATTCTTTGAGTTTAATCTGCTGTCTCCTACACGAAAAAAAAATAAAGCAACCCAGAATTCAATTCAAAGTTTTATCCACCTTGCATCAACATTTGCATTCAGCTGTTTGCGACATATTGTATACCATGACATGAAAATATCGTGTTAAGTATACGGCAAACTATCTGATCAAAACATGAATTAATTTCCCACTTAAAATCAGCTTCTCTTGTCACGGTATCGTCTATAGATCGATTTTAGCGAATGAACTCAGAAATGGGTTGATTTTGTTTTTCTTTCCTCATAGTCTGCTGTTGGGTTTGGAGTTAGTACCAAATCTAGCTCACACATCAGATTCCGCGATTTCTTCCACGGCACTCTCATCGATCAATTCATCGCTGTCCTCATCGTCATCGTCATCGTCATCGTCTTCAGCGTCCTCAGGTTGAGTTTCGTTTTCGCTATTCGTGGCAGTTTGGTCAACTTTCTGTGCTGTCACTTCATCGCTGTCATCGTCATCGTCATCATCGTCCACTAGAGATGTGATACCTTCAAAGATGTCGTCGTCGTCACTGGTCGGCTTCGTCGCAGTCACAGCTGCAGGAGCGGCAACAACGTCAACTTTGTTATTATCAGAGGATAATGTTTGTACCTTTTCTGGGGAGCCCTCGTCGTATTCAACTTCGTCTTCCTCTTCGGCTGCTGCTTCCGTTGCTGGTTGAGCATTCTGGTCGGCCTTTTGAGCAGCAAGTGATTCGACAATTTTATTCACTTCGTTGTTAACATCGATTCCTTCTGGCTTCTGTTTTGGAGGGGCGTCGATTTCGTTTTGGGCTGCGGCAGCATCGGCAAGATCAAGCAAAGCTTGAGCATTTCCCACTGGTTCCTTAACTGGAACTGGCTTCTTCTTCTTCTTCTTGGAAGGAGCAACTGGTCCAGAGGCATCCGCTACAGGTGGAACAACAGCGACATCCTCATCGTCGTCATCGTCGTCATCATCATCATCATCGTCATCGAAGGCACCTAGGAGATCTTCACCGAAAAAAGACAGTGCATCATCTTCGTCATCTTCATCGTCATCGTCATCTTCTTCATCATCATCATCTTCATCAACGGCAGCAACAGGTTGGGCAGGCTGCCCAACTGCCGACTGTTTCTGCTGGTCGAGGACTGCTGGCGCAACTGGAGCAACGGCAGCTGGAGCTACTTCATCATCATCATCATCGTCGTCGTCGTCATCATCATCGATTTCATCTTCGACTGATCCTATTAAGATAATTAAAATTTAATTTCTCTCAAAATCTACTGGCTTAATGCCTTCCACTACCAATAATATCGTCATCATCATCGTCATCATCATCATCAGCATCATCATCTTCCGCTGAATCATCATCACCTAGATCGAATTCATCTGAATCGTCATCATCATCATCATCATCATCACCGCCAGAAACTGGGACAACTGGAACTGGAGCCACTTCTATAGCTGCAACATCCGCCACATCATCTGCTGCTTGTCGATAGATTAAGGCACCTTTTCGAACATTTCGTCCCTCTGTTTGCGGGAAACAAAGCAAAATTAAAAAAATTTACCATAAGATCGCCCAAAATCTCGTTTCAGGTCAATCATATGCAGACCTACCTTCAACTGGTGCCGAGGCAGCAAAAGCGATTATAATGAGAATCAATAAAAGCTCTAGCAGAAATGTGACTTTCATTTTAAATTATCTAGAGGAGAAACAAGATAATCAAATTATATATTTATTTATCCATGAATAACTTAAATCTATTTCAGGGGATCTCTATCCAAAGTGAAATTATCGCATTGCCATCCAACCAAGTCTATTATCAGTCGACGAGTAAGTAGGGTTTGAAACGGAAAGCGATAATTATTTGTTCGTCATGTCTCACCTCACTGAACACATAAGAGCGTGCAATCATGTGAACAGAGCAAAAAATATGCGAGAAAGCCGCCTATTTAACCAAACAGCGAAAAACATATTTGTGTGTCAGATGGAAAGTGAACTTTCTTTTTGACCAGTGTACGAGATGGAATTCCGTTACTGCAAAAAGTTGCCAAACCTGTTTGCCACAATATTTTTTTCGTTGGTTTTGGTAACTGTAGGCGTCAAAATTTTACGTTCATAATTGTTTTATCACCAATATGATCTTTATTATCGAATTTGAATTAGTCCCTAAACTTCCCAAATAGGAGTTCATGTTTGTTTTCTTTTTAGCAAAACTGTTGATTTCAACATTAAGCTTTTGGTAAAATGTTCAATCAACATACAGAAGATAACAAGAAGATCCAAATAAAATCAAGACAAAAATAAAATAGAAAGTGATACACGAATAGGGCAGTTTCAAGGCCTTTATCGTGTGCTGTTGTTGTTGGTGCCAGTTGGTGCAGATGAATATGAAGCTTGAGATGATTAGGCACAAGAAAATGGAAAGTTCAAACAGGTTTCTCGGTACGCACAGGTTTGGTTCATTGCACTCTTCTGTCCATCTCGATCAACCCAATGACGTGTTTACATGTGGCATTTATCCGGACAGCTTAGGATTCGTGGCTTAACTTTAGAACTCAGTAACAGTGTTAATTTGGTTAATTAGAAGTGTAGTTGCTTCATTTTTATGTTAAACCCCTTTTCTTACTCACACGTGATATATTCATGATGATAAAATGTATTATTCAAGACTAGCAAAACAATATTTAAATAACCTAACGCGTGGTTCTATTCCAGGACAGGTCAATTACCGTTTTGGAACGGATATGTACGATATTCTACATTCACGACATTAGACATTCAACATAGAACAGTATTTAGACGAAGAACGAATAGTCAAAATTATGACTCTGGCACTAAAACTTCTTCTTCTTGTTTTTTTACGCTCTGTAGCGAGCGTTTTGCCGGCTCTCAACTTAGTGTTATAGATGCACTTTCGCAGCTATTCATTGAAAGCTTTCTATGCTTACACCAATGCATGAATTTGTATATTGTGCGGAAAGCACAATAATACACTATACCCAGGGAAGTCGAGAAAATTTCCACTCCGAAAGATTTCCTCGACCGAACCGAACCTTAACTAACTAGGCTATGAGCCCAAGTCGATGTCATAATTGGGTAGAAAGATTTTTCAATTAATATCAATAGACGAATTCAATCAGGTTAAAATATGAAAAGCTCTCAATGGATTAATGTACCTCTTTATCTTATGACTACCAACTATTAGTGAGAAGAGACTTTCTACTTATTTATGCTCAGTATTATGATATCCACGATGTTTACGAAAATCACTCCCAGCTTGGGTTCATGATTTTCACATACAATAGTTGTAGAATAAATTGTCAAATAGCCGTAACTGCTTTTGTAAACAATGATTGACGATTGAATTTGTGTTAATCTTGTGTACAGTGCTAGCAACTTACATATACAAATTATCATTATAATATCTTATAATTACATAATTCAAAAAATAGTTATTTAAAAAAATAAAGATTTTTTCAGCATGATCCGTCCATTTATTACGATTAAAGAGCCCAGTCCGCTCCTCTCTTATACTAGACCCTCTCTAATAAGACAAGTGCTGAAAAATCAAATTTTGCAACATTTTTCCGACTCAAAAATGTGTCGAAAAATAGCACTTTTCGATACAGAGTGTCGGCAGCTAAATATGGGGTTAGTATAAATTAGCACAAGACACTAATAAGTCTGTACATTTGAGACGAAATACGCGTATCTGTCAAGAATAAGCTTAAGGTAGTGTAATCATACTCTCTTTTTTATATAAATAGGTCGTTATTTTATTCTAAAGTCTGTTGAAAAGTGCTACTTGTTGGCATTATTTTGAATAACATAACGGCCTAGTTTTCCTAAATAAAATATCAGTACGCAAAAGATGCATGATTATGCTTCTTTTTGACACTCATGCCAAAAAGGTGCACAATTATGCTACTTTTCGGCCCACTGTACCGAAAAGTACAACACACAAAATAGCTATTTATGCAACAAGTTTCAGCACGGGTCATAGTTTATCTAACGAGGCTTGCCGAGTGCTGAAAATGACCCATTGAAGGTGGATCTACCAAGTAGAAAGTGACCTGCGGACCCTTCGCAAACTATGAAACTGGCGACGTGTGGCCATTGATCGAATAGAGTGGAGACGACTTCTTCGGACAGCAGATTCGTGCTGAAAAAAACTTAATTTTGCATAAATAACTATTTTTGCGAAATGGGCAAAACCTGTGATGTTAATGTACGTTACCGTTGTATTATATTGGTATCAGTTCAATTAATCCTTATGAAGCAAGAAATAAGAGCATCAATACACCAGACACCAGTTTTTTTAAGGAGATTTTTAGTCAATTGGCTAGTTCGTCTCCAAGCACCAGACATAAGTTAATGGCTCTTTTTTATTATTGTTTTCTCTTTTTTTTTGTGATAGTTGAAAACATTTGTTTCAGCATAGATTTCGGAAGACTAGAATTAAATGATCAACAAATTGGGTTTTTGAATTTTTGCACTTTTTTTTTAAATAATTAATATTTTAATTTACACAGCTATATTGACGTGAAGGGATTGACAATATTATTCTTCATAGGAATACAGAAATATTGTCAATACCGATGTAATGTCGTCAATATAGAATGTATTGACAATACGATTATTGTCAATAAAAGTAATCGTAGATGTAAAAGTAAAAGAATCAGTTGAAATAAACTAGAAATTTAATTCAATCAATTTTTGTCGAGTTGGGTATGTTTTGGTTTCGTTTGATTTTACATTACATGTTTGTTAACGTTCCATAATTAACATCGAAGATGGTTTACGTCTAGTGTAATAATCTAATGTTTTGTTTTTGGTAACAATAGGGTTTTTGATCTAATTTCCGTCCTACTAAGCACAACCACTTTACCTCTCATTTAAGAACGGATTTGAACAAAAAATAGCAAGATTCTACTGATGTCTTCTAAATTCATTTTTCCATACTATGCGTTCTAATAATTTTGTGTTGAAACTTTTGATTTTTTTTTTTATTTGTGAACGATGAAATTATTGATATTATTTATATTTTCTGCTCATTAGTACGGAAATAGGCAATTAAGACATAGTAGCGCTCTACCCTATTACTGCATAAACTATTGTCGTTACTGCTAAAAACCCAAAAAGCCCAAAAGCAAAAATCGTGTTATACGTTACAACGCACTACTTTCGACACTATGTATAACGTATAGTGGGTTTTACAGTTTTAAGCTGTAAACACAATTCATATTTTACATATTTAAAGACAATACATACATTTTACATATTAAAAGACATCGTTGTACATATATGTATCGTTGTATGATTTGTAAAAAAAATATTTTCAGGGTGGCAACTACCTTTAAGACCCTGGAGAACCTGGGACCCCACTTATCAGGGAATTCGGCCATCAAGCAGGGAATTCTCAAACTATTTGTTGAGTTGTTGAATACTTTTTTTAATTTGTTGTTTGAAGTAAAGTAAACTCTTTTTATTCATACGGCCCAATGTCACTAAAAAAACCTGGGATTATGAATAATATTCTTTTTTTTTCCAAGATTGGGATTTTCATTTCTTCCGAAGTCTCAAAAGTATGTAAATTTGTTTATATGTAACATTTTAAAGTATAAGCCAAGTTTTAGAACAAGACACTGAAAAAGTCTGTACATTGTTGATGAAATCTGCGTATCTATTAAGGGTAAGCAATTAAGGTAGTAGAATTGAATGTTAATCTCTAATCCAATTCAAATAGTCGATTAATCGATTAACGAACCGAAAAGTTCAACATTTTTATGCTAGGGTAATGGTCATTTTTACAATACGTCTAAATGTATGCCGTTTTTTTTTTCAATGAATGTAACATATGGACATGAAAAATGTGTGTCTGGTGGAAAAGTGTACCTTTCTAGTTTCTAGTAATACTGAAGAAAGATTTTTTTCAAAATAGGATGTAATTGAACATTTTTATTCAGCAATGACTTTGAATCATGGTTAGACATTGTTGGACTTAAAAATGTATCATGGTTGGACCTATTATGATACTTATCCATTTGTACGCTTGGGAATCTCGCAGGGCCGAGTGTCATAAACTAATCGATTCAGTTTGACGACAAAGGAAAATGTCTAGGTATCAGAGTGTGTATGTATGTGTATGTGTGTGTGATTGTGTGTGTGTGTGTGTGTGTGTGTGTGTGTGTGTGTGTGTGTGTGTGTGTGTGTGTGTGTGTGTGTGTGTGTGTGTGTGTGTGTGTTGTGTGTGTATGTGTGTGGAAATAAATATTTATTAAGACATGTTTAAGGCAACCTTTAAACCGAATTTAACGTAACACCGGCCAACATTAGCCAAACATCAGAATTCCAACACTAGTTTAATGGTAGTCATATGGAGGCCCACACCTGGCCATGTTTCGATACCCCCCGGAGAAGTGACCAGTTTCTGACTATGGTTTAAAGCCATCATGTGATACCTTTCTTCTTCTTCTTCTTTTTCTTCTTCGCATTTCAAGCTTATTGCATATCGCATATTAGCTTATGGCGTGCTCTCAACTTAGTGTTCTAGATGCACTTCCACAGTTATTAATTGAGAGCTTTCGATGCATGTACCATTTTTGCATTGGTATAATTGTGTGGCAAGTCCAATCATATTTCTATGCCCAGGGAAGTCGAGAAATTTTCCAACGCGAAAAATTCCTAGACCGGACCGGGAATTGAACCCAGCCACCTCCAGCATGGTCTTGCTTTAGAGCTGCGCCTTTACCGACTGAGCTAAGGGAGGCTATGTGATACCTTTAATCACATTAAAATTCAGCAGCAAGTTCGATGGCAGTTAATAGGAATAGCCAGGATCACGCTGGCCACATCCAGTCATTTTCCGGGAACCCAAAGAGACTAGGAAAGTAAACATAAAATAATGTTTTTTTAAGTTTGTTCTGTGCTAACGCTGTGGCTAACGCGACGAGATAACATCGATCCAAATCTGTGGCCCGCGCAGGAAATTGTAAACAAACCGAAGCGCACCTGCCATACAGGAAACAACTAGGTTCAACCATGATGCTTCGTAGGTTCAACCATGGTACAAATATGAATTAGGAGTTTTGTCAATGATATCAACGAAAAATACCACGAACTGTCATTGACCGCCAAGCAGTTTGAAGATGCTTTTCTTACAGTTGAACAAAAATACACACTGCGGTATTGAAATCTTGTTCTTGTCAAAAGATTCAGTGGCCTTGTTAAATTCCAAAACCGAAAAGTACATTTTCTGACCGACACAAACAATCACTACACGTTCAATAAAAAATTAAATCCGTGTGTGGGGTTCACTGATTTTCCAATTTCGAGGGATCTTCAATTAGCGTGAGACTGAATCCCGGTTACTTCTTGAGCCCTGGAACTCCCTTGTCTTAGTTATACTAACACGGTTATATCATAGAGGTAACTGGTATATCATGCCAAGTAAGCATAACCTTCTCCAGAGGATCACCACTCTTCGCTTCAAACACAAAATAGTTGATTAGCTCCTGGATTAGTTATTAATCGAGGAATAAAACATTGATTTTATATGTGATTGCTTTAATACAAAAAAACGCAAAAACGTCAACTCTACCGAGGGTGCAACATAAGCAAAAAAACCTTGCATACCCCCTGTATTAATTATATAAAAGGGACCATGGAAAAGACACTAAAATATAAATTGTTTTCTCCCGACTGTTTAATCTTACCATTCTTCTTTGGAAATACTGGAACTGTTTTCTGAGCCATATTGGAGAGTTTTTATTTTCAATAGTACATTGAATATTAATAAGCTCTAGTTTTGGCATTTGAATCGACCAACATGTCATAAACATAAAATACTACACTTTTCAGGCTTATACGTTAGCACCTCACCATACAATTTTTTGGGCTTTATTTTTGAGATTTTTAGCCGTAGGCTAATCCATTTCGTTGCACCATACAATTCGTTTCCCTATCCGCATATCCGCACACCGCCTTCGTTAACTTTCTCGGAGAGCCAACAAGCACACAATCAAGAAGTTAACTGTGCATTTGAGTGAATGAGAAGTGAAGGCAGTGTTTTTTACTTCATTCCAAATATTAATTAATCAGTCATTAACTCGTTACAGTAGATAACATTTGTTTGCGAGACGATTTTTTATCGAATACCAACATAAAATGTGAACCGGGAAACTTAGTGTTGATACCTGTAAAAACCTTGAAAACACAGGTAATTTTGTGTGGACTTTTGATTTTCCATCCTGCTATACTTTTACATGGCAACATTAATGTTCATTAGATTGAAATAAAACAAAAGCGCCAAACTGTAAGGAAACTGGTGTTAAAAAATTAATGAGCACAAGAAGAAAAACAAACGAATTATGCATTGAAATGATACCAAAGTTATAAACAAAGAATAATTTTGGCTGCCAATGTGTCCCAATCCTAAGAAGCGCTAATATCCTTGAACTAACAGTAGTTGTGTTGCAAACTTGATAACTTCGCACCATAGTTGGCCTGAGTTCAATCCGAACCGAGTTCGTAAGAGTTTTCTGAACCGAATAATCTCTTTTCACGTGTTCCTTTCGAAGAGAAGTAAATACGTTGGTTCCGACTCACGAACTGATGTGTTTAAAGCGTAAGGTCTAGTCGGAGGCGGCTTTTTGGCTTCAGTTATTGGCACGTACGTGGCGAAAAATATTCAATGAAATTATCCTTATGATCCCCCAAGTTCTTCACCGTGACTTTTTAACTACATTTATTATTATCTTTGTTGTTATTACTTTAAGTTGAGTTTTATTGTAGACATATATAAAAAAAAATACGTTTGAAATTATTTGAGTAATATCTAAACACCGGAAAACTTCTATTCAAATAGAGCTAAAGTCGAAAAATTGCTATTTTTATGTTGCTTTGCCACGTCACACTGTTTTGCACTTCTAGTAGAATTTGTTAGTGGCTATGTTTATAGTTATTGATTAGAAAACATAGTAAATCATGTCTAACATTGCTATATTGTGGAGATTATTATAAGTTTTAAACAAAAAGAGTAATCTGTGAAAATTTGCGTACCACTTCACATAGTGCGGTTCTTATGCCAGATTTGCATTCATGCATTTTTACTGCTAGCGACTTAAATGAGTGTGTATACGTGTAAGCGACGAAAGTCAACTTTTTTGCATACGAAATTGATGTTAAATTAGGAGAAGCAAACGTTTTCACACTCAAATGTGTGCATTTTTATCAAACGGGTAACTTCTTCATATTAGTATTCCAGATGTGTACTACTTTCTTTTTAGCTTGTTGCTTTTGCTGTTCGTATAAACACAGTTCAGTTTGTGTTTGAATAATCAAAAATGTATGAGCAACAAAAAGAGAAAGTACCGTTTACATAATATTTGGTATGACGAGTGACCTTTCCAAGGCATTCAAAGATGATCATTTTTGTGAATGCTTAACATGAAAAATCCAACTCTTCAGTCAATGTGAAGCTAAAATTAATAGCTGGTGAGTATAAGACATAAATAATTGGAGGTAGCCCATAATAACACAACTTTAACTGTAAAAAGTCACTTCCACAAACAGCAATAGTTCTCAGATTAGCGGGACAAAATAAAACTAACAAGCGTCTCGGAAAGAAAAAGAATCTTAAGATCAAACATAGCGGAAGGCAAGCACCGACGTAAATTGAATAATTGTAGGTCCATTATACTGATTGGAAAAACCACGCAAAGAGTTTCCTGATGTTCGTCATGCAGCACAATGGTTCATACCTCTTCCAACCAGGTGATCTGGATTTCTAACGAATGCAATTATTAGTTTAAGTGGAAAATGTAATGCACTCGTGATTGCATGTTTAAAACAATGGGAGAATATTCACAAAAACAGGACAAAACATTATTTTGTGTGAGATTAGTGTGCATAGAGTTTAAGAAAACATTTTATTAATTTGCTCGTGAAATCATTACGATCAATTTGATCGTTGTGAAATCAATACGATCAAATTAATAAATGGCGTTCTCATACATTTTAGATTTTTCGATTAGGAATTGTTAACAAAATTACAGCACTGTTGAAAACATACAATACGCCAAAATTTAACCTTAGTTTTCACATAAAGGGGACGATAGCTTTATACACACTTTTCCATGACAGTTCACTTAAAAGATCAAGATGGAAAATACCAACACAATTCCATCAGTTCAAAATACTTGAATTGAAGAAAGGTACCAGATTTATGGAAGATAAAAAATAGTTGCAGACCATCTTTAAGCTTTCCGACTGAGCTGTATATCGGATTCCACAATTATTATTTTTTAAATTCGTTAGCCCATTAAGAAAAACATAATCCAATGAAATGATCCCTACGATTTCTCTCATTTCCATATTACACTTTTCCTCGATTTAATATCATTATAAACTTTCTGGAGGCTATAATCCACTATTAGGCTTCATTCCCAGTTCAATAATCGTTTCCAGGTGTTGATAATGGCCATAACAGGACAGTTCGTTAATGCAGTAATCCATTTGTATCAACGAAGCACTGGCAACTTTTTTTTTTAATGTCCTTGAATATCCTTTGCCCAATCATTAAGTTCTTCAAGCTGATGTCTGGTACTCACTTTACTTAAACTACCAATGTATTAGATGTTCTACACGCACGTTTGTTTTTTGAACACAAAAACCACGACTTTCTTCGTCCGATCACTCTGCGCGACTGACTGAACTTTTTCCACTTCTTCGACTCTTAATGAAAACTTTGTATGATGGACGTGATTTTGTTGTTCGGCTACTTTCTTTCCCCCGCTCTGCGGTTCCATCCGATGGATCTGCACCACACCTCTTGATCTCACGGTTCGCTGTTCCGTCTCACTCGCTCCCTTTGGGGCTTGTTTCTACTGGTGATGCTTACAGTGCCGAAATGATGTTACTCGTTCAGCGTGTTCGGAAAAAAATGTGTTACGAAAATCATCTATTCCGTTCTTTTCTTCTTTTCTCCACAATCTCTCAGTAGGCCGGAATTATAAGAGTCATGAGCGACCAACTTGTATTTATTAGCCTCTCCCGTTCCATGGTATAAATGTATGCAGTTGGCGCGTGCTCTTTTTATCAGTTAAAGAGTTTTCTTCTTCACGTTTCGTGTTGTGTCCATAATTTCCTACCTTTCTCTCGTTTTAATCCTCGTCTGAGAGAGCCGCTATGTTACTTTTATGTATCCAATTGCGTTTCACAATCAATGCGCGTTTACTACACAATGCTTGTTTGCTTACCCACGGAGAAAGCAGATAATAGAATACATATACATAAAAGGTAGTAAAATGTCTAGGCTGGATCCTTTAACTGTGATATAATATAGTTAACAATATTTAAATGTATATTTTTAAACCTAGATTAGGCTAGTAGCAATTTGATTACTTGTTGAGATCGATTCAGCTTCTTACATAATAATGAATTCAGAGTGTGCATATCTATTCATCTCTATAATGGAGTTAATATTGAACTGTTTGCCCCCTCTTGTATTGCAATTTAGGTGGTTTAAAAGAACAGCCTGATATATGCTTACTAAATAACGCAAAATTCTTATACAGTCAACTCTTTCTCAAGAAAAACTAAACTGAATTAATCCACCTATGGCGAGATCAGACCCCAATTATTCTAACCTAAATTATCTGCATCCAGTCAACAATGTTCAATTTTTCAGAGAATTCAGGGAAGAGAAGAAATATATTTTCTGAATGATCTGTAATATATATATATATATATATATATATATATATGTATATAAGTTTTTTTTTTTTGATATATATATATATATATATCAGCTTTTCGTTAATCATATTGAACAAGATCCAAATGGATAGATGTAAAGGTGGTCGAGAACTCATGGTCTGCTAGTGTTGGTGAGTTATTTGCCATTAATGTTCATGAAAAGTTCACTATTTTGCCATAAAATGTGCACCAAAGCGGGGGATGTAAGATTCGCTTACAATTATGTGAGATTCATCAGGAGGATGCTAGTGGAGACCGCATGAACCGAGGATGCGATATACCGAGCAATGTCCAATGCAAGAACATGGAGATAGAAAAATGTAGAGTGCATTAGTGAGTGAAGTTAATCATGTCGAAAAAAAATTTGCCGACTGGGGGACTCGAACCACGAACGTTGCAACCATCAGACCTGTGCTTTCTCCACTGATATCTCCATGCTTCGGGAAAGGCTAATAGCGAACAAGGAGTGCTCATTTTCTCGCATACTCGACTTCGTTTGCTTTTCTGCTAGAGATAATCAAGTATGAGCGTCGTTCTACCATATTTAAAAAAAATCAAAACAAAATGCTTTCTTGTGTAGGTGAAAGCATATACAGAACACGGAATAAAAAAAGATTAAAAATCATTGCATCGTCTGCAAGGTCAACTTCTAACATTCGCTGCGATGTTCATGAACAGAGGATGATGGGAAATGGAACTAAGATTCATTGTGATACATATTTGGTTTGCGTGTGCCAAAATAAAGAAGTTACGGGTGAATTTGGACAGATTTGGACCTGTCTCGTACAACCAGAAGGTGTATGCTGGTCATAAATGCCTTGCCAAATCGATTTCCTCCCTGGGGCGTCGGTAGCATTGGAAAACAAGATCGACGAAAAACAAACCAAAGAAAAAAAAATCATAATATTGGACAAGATATTGCCCATTTCACACCATACTGGACAAATAAGCGCTTTTTTACTTATTAAAAAGTCTGGTAAAAGTACGAGCGTCTGTCTAACTGTCTTGGTGTCTTAGGTGCACTTATTTCTTATAATGCTCCGCTGACACCAAAACGATTTGACGGAAACGTGAACTTTTATCACACTTTTTGCATTTTTGGGGTAGTGCAGTTTCAGATGCAATCAGCAATAATCTCTTCTATCTTATTAAGAACGCTGCATGCTCACCAAAATTCAAACAAGAGCTTCGTGAATTTACAATGATTTATTTAAAAAGGATCTTGTTGTTTATTATTTGATAAGGCTCTTGTTGTTTATTATTTGATAAGGCTCAACCGAATTAACTTTATAGAGCCGAGGATTCTTGGTCACTATACAATACATCTTAAAACTGTAGTCAAAAGGTACAACACAATAAACACTTTATCTTCCGCTATCCAAAAAGCCTCCTCCATCAGAACTGGAGCCGCTTCCAGTAGTTTTATTGTATGGCAAATTGCTGTACGCCAACGAGGGTCAGAGCGCGTCCATTGCAGCAATGGACGCAAAACGTGGTCAGCACTCACACACTCATCACGAAACGGTTGCTTTCCAAAGTCGGCGACGCATCGACCAAAAGAACTGCTGATGAAGAACAATGATGAGGACCACACAATGGTTGCTGCCGAGAAAACACACGATTGTGTAGCACGCATCGATAGTGGCCTGCTTTTGTCGACAGCCGAGTGAACACTGTTAAAAAGGATCTTATGTATATATATATTTAATAATATTGGACAAGATAACCTCTTATATCTTATTAAGCACGCTGCATGCTCACTAGACTGATGCAAAATTTGAAATTTTCGCTCTACATTGTTCAAACGGTACCAATTTGGTTCCTGATTAGCCTTTCAAAATTTGAAGTCATTTAGTAAGAAACTGACTTGGCACAAACCAATTTGAGTTTTTATGGAGATGGGAAAACCAAATTTTGTATTCATATCTATCTAATAATGAGCCCTATTGCTCTGCTGTAAAAATTGATAGCTGAACTTGTAGTAAACTTTTACAGCTACAGCTTTGTTGAAGACTATTTTTAGATAAAATGTAAGGATCAAAAGTTATTAATGATTCAAGTCACTATTGTCTTATTATTATGCTCAATCAACTGCTCAGCAGGCAACATTGCTGTTTCTGGGGCGTAGAATAGAGCTAAAACATCATGGCAACCAGGGTTGCTTCCACTCACTTGCTATAAAAACATATTTTTCAGAATTATGCAATCATTAGATGAAATTATGATATGCTGTACTTGTAAGTACCAAGAAGAGGGTTTAAAGTATGTGTTTGACTCATAAAACCTGTCAATTTTGCTTTCAGAGCGTCACAATAAGCGATCTTATGATTTGTGATCGTTCACTCAGAGTGAGCACTCACGAGTCGTAAAATTGCTGATTGTGACGCACTGAAAGCAATATTGACAGATTTTATGTGTCAAACACATACTTCACGTCCTCATCTTGTAACTTACAAGAACTAATAAGCACTATACCATCTCATGATTTCATAATCTTGAAAAACATTTTTTTTATAGCAAGTGAGTGGAAGTAACCCTGATGGCAACTACATGTATGTCACACTACAGAATACAGTGTTACCCACAAAACAGTTGCTTGATCATGCCATAAGATTATCAATCTCTTAAATAATTAATAACTACTTAAGTTGATGTTTGGTTAAAAAACAATATTCCGCAAAGTTTTAGTTGAGAAAATTTTCGATAAGAATAGCTATCTAAATTTTTAACAGTGCAATATGGAAGAAGGTTAGAAGTTTGGTTTCCCCATAGTAATTCCCATATAAACATCAAATGGTTTGTGCCCAGTCAGTTTCTTACCAAATCAGTACAAACCTGATTTGGAACCGCTTGAGCACTGTGGAGTGAAAATGTCAAATTTTGCATCAGTCTAATGCTCACCAACATTCAAACAAGAGCGTCGTGGATTTACAATGATTTTATTTGAAAAAAATATCGTTTCGCATCTTATTGATTCAGAACTCTTATCAAAGCTAAATTTTTACATACCTTCTGGGCAATTACGAAATCGTTCAAATATCACTAAATTTGGACCACTACATCAAATGGCTGCTTGCAATGAGCATTGTCAAACTGTTGACTTTACAACGACAAACATCAAATAAAAGCAGTGTTTTAATTATATTCATAATTTTACCACGTGAAAATATTACATTGTAAAAGCAGATATTGCTTAGTCTATTTTATTTTGATTTGTATGATACATTTTATTAAAAGTAAAAAATTACAACAAAAAAGACGATCAACATCTGATTATCGGCAATATAAACAGAGACAGAGAAGATGTAAGAAGGGTAAAAATTGATACATTATTTATGTGATGTGGAGAAAAGATTAGAAATCGTACGTTCAAGAGATTGATTTTTGAGTTTTTTGAAAGAAACCTTGTCTATGACTACAAGCATGATCAACGAATCTGTCGGTATTGGAGGCAAACCCGCCCAAGGCTGAAAGCCTCCTTAATAAAGATAAATAATAATAATAATAATAATCTGTCGGTAGCCCATGAAACATCACAAAAAACGAACACGCTGTAATATGCACTTGGATTACTTTCTATAGACATAAAGTTTAGATGTTCGAATTAACAAAAACTATCTTTATTTACATTATGCGAAAAATAGAAACATAATAAATGGATCATAATGAATGATTTAAGCAAGATCGAATAAATAAAAAGATATTCCAAAGATTTGATTCACATCCAACTCATGTGTCAGTCTTCCATCGTCTGCGAAACGTAAAGAAAAAGAGAAAAAGCGAGTGAAATGACCAACTTCTCAAACCATCAAAAACGAAAATATTCATCGACACGTCAATGGCTAAAGAAAGTGAAATTTCCATTCAACCAACGCCAACAAGCAACGACGATGACGATGACTGCGTAAACATCGATTGGCTGCTGGTCAGTTCCCGAACGGTTACATGGAAGACTAATCGAAAGTAAAGAGGAATATTTTTCAAAGCCGGAACTATGTTAATTATTTTTTTATTCATTGACGCTAGTCTTTCGAAATTGAATATGTATTATATAAGGCTGCTTTGTATGTAGAATAGGTTTCAATGAAAAGCAGCATCTCATATGTTCATTTTACCGATATGTGCTTCTCGATCAACATTATCCAAATGCTTATGTAGTTTGGCTTACGATTGAT